ACAAAAAAAAAACCACCCTGCCACCATGTGACCAGATTTATCTTGGTTGCTTATAATGCGTCGTATTCATCTGCAAGGCCGTTTATGATGCATTACCGCCGCGGTGACCATGATTCACTTGGTCAGCCGAGGAGAATCCTCCAGTTTGTGTGCGTGCGTCCGTGTTTGTATTGTTTGAACGTAGCACCTTGCGGCTGTGCCGTGTCGTCAGTTGTGTGTGGGAGTTTGCTGCTCTTTGCTCGGGAAGCCGTGAAGTGTTGGACTTTATGGAGAGTGAAATAGCTTCTTGTGCTCGAGACGCTTGGAAACGTGACTTCCGGCACTTGACTGCTCCTTGGGATCCATTCGTATTGCCTGCATTTGTTTTTACTCGCAGATGTTGAAAAGTGAAAGAAATAACAGGAGAAAGTTTAGGAACTGCCCATCATGAGAGCTGTCGACTTAAAAAGAAAAAAAAAAAGGACCGAAAATCCCCGAACTGTCTGTGTCCCATAATAAATATCAAAATAAGAGAATTTCGCAACTCTCCATCACAGTCGTAAAACAAGAACATGTTGTGACGGTAAACTGAAAGCGTTCGAAGGCTTACTTTTTTTTTTCTTCCCCCCTCTTCCGCTAGTTGCCAAGATAAATGAGCGGCGTCTAAAAATGCAGTCCACCCTAATTCTCTTTGATTAGTCGCGAGAGGGATGACGGCGACCCAACGAAATTGGTCATCAGCATAAATAACGAGCATATGAACTGATAGAAAGCAAAGTCCCCGGCCGTCATAAATCAAAGGCGATCCGCCGGGCCGTGGAAGTGGGCGGAATTAGAAGTCGGCGCTCCTATTAATTATGTTGCCTTGTGAAGGTGACAGCGCGATAAATCAGCGCTGAAAGGCCCCTTTCGCCACCGCCGCAGCACCCGCAGCACTCGGAGCGGCTGCAAATTGCTTTGTGTGTGCTCCTAATTGTTTCTTAAATAAGCCTCCTTTTTGCGAGGCCACTGGGAGGAGGTGAAGTCTACGGGGAAGGGTCGCTCGCACTCGCCGAAGCCCCATCGCACCCACAACGCTCCCACGATCCGTCTCCTTGTGAAACGTGCCAACGGTTCCGTTCCCGCCCTGCGATGGACCTTTTCATCATGTCGTCGCACGCGCTTGTTCAGCTTCCAAATTTCCATCTCAAGTCGCCTTGGCCACTCTGCAGCCAAAATGCAAGTGGCAAAGTGTAACCACTCGGGTATTAAATTCACTTTTCTTTCCTTTCGTCGTCATCCCGACACAAAATCTCAATCGCCTAATCGCACAGCCCTACCTAGTGTGTAGTTTATGTGTGTACACAGCACACAGTGTAGTGTGCATGCGTGACCTTGACCTTGAGCGCTACTCTAGATGTTGAAATAATGCTCCTGTGAGGCGGCGGCAATAATGGCGTGCACTTTGATGACATTGCGTCACAGCCAAGGTGACTGAGTGGAGGCGAAGGAGGAGGAGTTGTGCCACCCCCACCCCAGCCCCCCAAGCAGCCAGCCATCACCCCCCTTCTCACCCTGTCAATAGCGAGCCTCTTGTCTGATGTAGTCACATCAGGGCGGCACACCTGACACCGCCGCCGTGTCTTTATTTCCTGCCGCCGTCCCTTCGCAGCACACACATCACTGGTGATTAATACGCTGACAGCGGCCGGGAGGTGAAACGCGCGCATGCGAGCGCACACCACAACAGCTACTCTTACTGAAACACACTCATCCAGCGACATCATTGGATACTCACTCGCCACCTGTGTCATACACCTCAAATACAAACTATTAATGTTGCACTTTACAAAAAAAAAAAAAGAACACTAATCATTATAGATGTTGCAGTTTCTCGAAAAGAAGGCTTTGTGTTGATGTTATACGGTCCTAAAAGGAACTTCACAAGGTCCGCGTTCAGTAAACAGAGGCAGTGTTGCACTTCTCAAAAAAGAACAAAACCCAACTGCTGGCTGAGGTTTTCCGGGCTGCTCTGACCATTAAGAGGCGCTGATGAATTATAGTCGTCGTCGATTGGACATTATTGGCAGCAGTTGAGTCGACGACGTCCTTTCCAGTCGCAGTAGACTCGTCGCAGATGTTTAACGCGCGCGCGGCGCCCTAAGTGACACTACGTCCGCCGCTGTCTGGCGGA